GAGTGCTAGGATTACAGGTGTGAGCCACCACGCCCGGCCTTTAATTATAATTTAAAATTGTACTAATTTAAAAAACATATTTGGAGATAGGGTCTGGCTCTGTTCACTTCAACCTCAAACTCCTGGGCTTAAGCAATCCTCCTGCCTTAGACTCCCACATAGCTGGAACTACAGGTGTGTGCCACCATACCTGGCTAATTTTTCTATTTTTTGTAGTAATGGGGTCTCGCTATTGTTCAGGCTGGTCTTGAACTCCTGGGCTCAAGTCATCCTCCTACATTAGGCTTCTAAGCAGCTAGTACTATAAGCTTGTGCCACCATGCCTGGCTAATTTTTTTTTTTTTTTTTTTTGGTAGAGATGGAGTCTCACTTTCTTGCTCAGGCTGGTCTGGAACTCCTGGCCTCAAGTGATCCTTCCACCTTGACCTCCCAAAGTGCTAGGATTACAGGCATGAGTCATTGCACCTGGCCCTTAAGAGATTTTTCTTAGACATAGGCCTAATATGAATAAAAGTACAGCAAATTGGAGAAGCACAGGGGATGAATCCATTACTTTTTCTGATTATAGAAAACTAATCTGGTCTTGTTTATGATTAGGAAAATCTTTATCACTGACAGGGTGTCAACATTTATTAATAACATTGCCAAATTTCTGCGTTAGAAATACTAACATCAGACTCCATTACATACACAAAGAAATCACAAATAAAATTTTGTTATAGACTGCACTTAACATCCAGATATATTCCTCTGGGGCATCCAGAAATCATTCTCTATCCTATGTAACTGAGCAAAACCCAGAATACAGCACCATGGTAAGGACTGAAGTCATTTTCTTGCTACTATTCCTTGATACTTCACATCTTTTAGTTTTTTTTCATAACATTCTCTCCATGGACATAAAGACAAGCATGATTATTCATTTCTACAAGGAGATGGCACAAGCCTGTGACAAGATGAGCTCCACTTAAGTAGGAATTGTGATTATAACTCTTCAAAAGCATTATATCTTTTCTGACTTCAAGGAAGCAAGTGAGATATATTATAGAATCCAAACACAGAAGATATCTGCAGGGACAGAAAGCTTTGTCTGAAAAACATGATTTATCAGTTAGGGTTTAGTCTGGGAAGGAGAACTATTATGAATTTTATGTTATAGTAATAAAACCTTACACAATTGTGGGAAAGGCTGGATAAGAATCTATAAATGGGAGTTAGAGAACCAGAGAAATGTCACTAACCAGCTCTTCTGAAGCACTGGTATGGGTGAATGAATCCAAGCCTTGGGGCAGGACTCCCCATCTGGCTGCTAGAATGAGACCACAGAGGAAGCAGATGCAGAAGTCTGTGGAAGGCTGTTACCTATGTATATCTAGTCTCTGTTAGCCAGGAGAGCCGCATGTGGAGCAGAGGAGAGCAAGGACAAGCTGGATTTTTAATGTCTGTCTTGTAACACCTCTAACCACAGTGACCTTCAGCTTAATTGTGGTTACCTCATTTTCACTTTCCACATCATGGGCAAATTTCTCTTTTGGGCCAACTCTAACGCAGAACCATACAGGAAAGGGGCTTTTGGGAAACCTAGTTCTAGCATTGCCAAGTTGACAAAGTATAAAACTGCTGTAATCTACTCTTTGTCAACTTGGCATCTGTACGTACCTGTTGTAATCATATTCAGCTTTCAAATAAAGATAAAAGCAAAGTTTTATTTCTGTCTAATATAGTATTCTATAACTATTCTTTGTTTCTCTAATTGGTCACACAGTCATAGCTGTTTTCTCTCCCTGCCTTCAGTGAGAAGGTAAATTGGTCATGGTTTCTTGCCTGGTGAGGTGACCCAGACCTTCTTTACAGGAGGAGTACTATCATAAGCAGTGCTACCTGCATTGGATTGTTGGAGTTTTTACTATTATGTGGGAATTCTAAGAGGGGCCTCAGAGAATCCGGTGTATTCTAGTTATACTCGTTTACCTTATTGTGTAGTAGCAACCCTGTTTCTCTGTGATGGTAAGGATCAGTCACCCTAGCCAGTAAACAACCCCCCTGCATTTTGGTTCTCTGGCATGAGGAGGCCAGAGTGACCAGGTAGGGGTCTTAAATTCTAACTCAGTGTAACCGTTAAACCTAATGAGACAGGTGGCTGAGGAAAGAGGCTGACTAACATCCATAGGACAGGTCAGTTTTTCCACTTGATCATTAAGATCCTCTGCTGAGATAATGGCTTTGATGAGCATTTATAGGAATTATCGTCATATTCTGTATAGCTATTTCGAGAGCTCCATCCACATTCCTCTTCCTCGAACTTCTTGTCTCCAGCTTTCTAGTTGGATGTCCCTTCCAAGTCCCTGACCACCCAGCCAAACTGCTAGTCATTCTTGAATTAGTGTCAGTCCACACCTGTGGTCATCTCTCCTTCCAGGTAGAAGGAACAACTGTATTGCTTGAAGTTCTACCCATTGAGAGGATTTCCCTTCATCACAATCCATGGTTAGCCTTGAGTTTGATGCCAGAGCTGTCTTTCAGTTGGTGCTAGGTGGAACCATCTAAAACTCTTGCCCAAAGTCTTCCTTAGCTGGTCATAGGGAACTACCCTTGAGGTAGTACGTGCAGGATGGTAGAGGAAGCAGTGTAGCATCATTAGGAACCATCGGTATCTGAATCATTTGCTTGTATTTATTTGTGTCTTTGGGACATGTTTGAGCCCAGTCTAATATTATAGCACTTATACTTGATGATTAAATACTTACCACTGTGCATGCCTAACTTGATGGCTTGGTGGATCTGACAGTATTCTGTTCGTTCTGTAGAGTCCAGGTTACATGCTAACTTGGTGACCCATGGTCAAGTGTTTGGTCTCTACTGGAACTTAGTAGCAAGCTAGAAGCTGTTATTCAAGAAGAGAATAATTCTTCAAAGGACAACATAGCTTTGCACCTAAGTCCAAAAGGTCTCCTCTGTCATTCACCTGTAAAGGACTGCCAGAGGCTCCATATACCATTCTTGTCTGTCCCAGACACTTCAGTCACCCTGAAGATCTTCTGAGTCATGTGGCCCAAGTGATAGAACAGTTTTCACAGAAGCTTAGACCTGTTGTGGAGCCTACTTAAAACTGGCCCAAAATTGGTTCACTAAATAAATAGAATAAGTTGGGGAGTATTTACTTTTCCACACTTTTCTGAAAGAAAGTACCTGCGCCCGGCCTGGCTAATTTATTCTATATATTTTTAGTTGGTCAATTAATTTCTTTCTATTTTTTAGTAGAGACGGGGTCTCGTTCTTGCTCAGGCTGGTTTTGAACTCCTGACCTTGAGCAATCCATCCGCCTCAGCCTCCCAGAGTGCTAAGATTACAGGCGTGAGCCACCGCGCACGGCCCCATGGCATTGAATTTTTGAAGAGAGTAGGACAGTTGTCTTGTAGGATATCCACATATATATTTTTTAAAATAACAAAAATGAGCTTATACTGCACATATTTTTGAAACTTTTGGTTTTTCACTTTAAAGTATATTTTGAATGTTTTTTCAGGCCCATATTTTCAGTCCTGCCTTTAAGGTTCTCTATAATTGGACCTTAATATGCTTTTTCAGATTTCTCCCTATCTTTCTAGCATCAGCGTTTTTCATTCCTTGAACTACTTGCCTTGGTGTCTAGTCATCCTGTCTACTTTTACCCATTTTACAGCCTTGATGTAACACAATTAGTTCACATTATTTCCCTTATATGAAGTGTCTTTCTGGTGTTCTATCTACTTATTCCAGTTAGGGAATTTTAGAATTTGTAGGGTATTAGAAATTTAGTAAGACAGAAGGCTGACCGTTAAGTCTGGACTACATGACTGGTAAACTACAGGACTTTGGTGATATGTCTTCTCTCTGAGACTAGATTTCCTCAACTGTTAAGTGAAAGAGTAGAATTAAATGTCACTGACTGTCCCATGATTATCAAGGGATACTTATTGTAGGAAATTAAGTACTAGAGGCTAGACGCAGTAGCTCACGGCTGTAGTCTCAGCACTTTGGGAGGCCAGAGCAGGATTGCTTGAGCCCAAGAGTTCAAGGTTGCAGTGAGCTGTGATCGCACCACCTCACTCCATCCTGGATGACAGTACAAGATTCTGTCTCTTAAAAAAAAGAGAGAGACAGAAAAAGAGAAAGAAAGAATATTGAGTACTAGAGGAGTTCAGGAGTAGAGATATATTAATATTACTGTCAGTTAATAAATACCGTGTTTCCCCAAAAATAAGACAGGGTCTTATATTTATTTTTCCTCAAGAAGACACCCTAGGCCTGATTTTCAGGGGATGTGTTATTTTTTTAAGTACGGTACGACAATCTACATTTATTCAAATATAGTTAAGTCATTGTCTTCTGGAACATCATCATAACTCTCCAAACCCCGAATTCCATCCTGAATTTCTTTCGACTTTATTTCCTTTAGATTTAGAACCATTGGCCCCAATCTCTCATGTGGAGCAATAGAGCTCCCATGGGGCAGATGAGAAGGGCTGCTCGTCTTCTTTACTGCTCCACAAAGAAATGCATGGGTTGTGCAGATGCGCTGCGTAGCCATGCCCGTCACTAGGTCTTATTTTCGGGGTAGGGCTTATATTGGGCAAATGCTTAGAAATCCTGCTAGGGCTTATTTTATAGGTAGGTCTTATTTTCTGGGTAACATGGTAGCATAGGTGTGATTAAATTTAAGCAGAATGGTTGTGAAGCCCAAATGAAATAACTGATATGAAAGGTTCTGAAAGTAATACGTTATAGTATAAATGTAACTGGTGTCTTACCAAACAAAATAGGGCAGGGTTCTTTGGGTGAGGGAATGAAGACTGTTCTAGTATGCTGATGGTGTGATTATTACAGTATATTAAAGAACATTTCAGAAATTTAGCTGCCCTAATAGTGTAACTTGAAACTTTTAAATTGATACTACTTTCAGTTCCTTTCCTGAGTGGGGATAATGGTGGGTCTGATCTCTTTCTCTTTTGTTCCTACAGCTCTATTATCAAGTCCTAAATTTTGGAATGATTGTCTCTTCAGCGCTAATGATCTGGAAGGGATTAATGGTGATAACTGGAAGTGAAAGTCCAATTGTAGTGGTGCTCAGGTAACAATTAATTTTTCTTTTCAAGGCATAGAATTACATGGCATTACTTGAGAGAAAAAGTGAGGTATTGAATAACTGGTATATCAGTTCCTTAAAACTACTCTTTCCCAGAAGAGGGCCTGGAAGAAAATTAGTTACTACTTCTCAAATGTGAGGAATTCTCACCTTGTGGTTCTGCACTTCCATTCAGAACCCCAAAGGGTCCATGGCCTTTTTATGAAAAGGTTACTATGTGAGCTTTATTTTTGGCACATCCCTTAAGAAAGTGTTTCATTGTACTTCATTTTCCTGAAATTTTTCTTATACTGCTCACTTTGATACATCAGGCCTGTTAATTAGTTGTTAGTTCATTAGATTTTATAGTATATCAGCAAATTAAGAATTTTTTGGTTGCATGTTCTCAGTATCAGTACAGAAGCATCACTAATTATTTGCATGTTTCCTGACCTTTAAATATCACTTCTAACCTAGACTGCAGGAATTTTGAAGGTATTAATACTATCTCTTAAGGTGACAAATATACTGAATTTTTTTTCCACTCTGCTTCCTTCTCTTTGTACTCATACTCTTAGTGATTTTAAAAATGAATTTAGGCCGGGTGTGGTGGCTAACGCCTGTAATCCTCGCACTCTGGGAGGCTGAGGCGGGCAGATCACTCCAGGTCAGAAGTTTGAAACCAGCCTGAGCAAGAGTGAGACCCTATCTCTACTATAAATAGAAAGAAATTAATTGGCCAACTAATATATATAGAAAAAATCAGCCGGGCATGGTGGCACATGCCTGTAGTCCCAGCTACTCGGGAGGCTGAGGCAGCAGGATTGCTTGAGCCCAGGAGTTTGAGGTTGCTGTGAGCGAGGCTGATGCCACTGCACTTACTCTGGCCTGGACAACAAAGTGAGACCCTGTCTCAAAAAAAAAAAAAAAAAAAAGAATTTAATAACTCATTTTTGGGGAATTACCACTTGGTTATTTAATCAAATCATTATAGTTCTGTATTATTTTGGAGTTAATTTTGTAAGCCATCTCAAATCCTATTTGGAGATAATGGAGTACAAATATAAAATAAATCAAATTATTAACATTATCTAGAGTCTAAATATTAGTACATTACTCTTTTTTAATCACTTTATTGAATTATGATTGACATATACAGAAAGCTGTACATATTTAATGTATACACTTGATGCGTTTGGAGATAAGTATATACCCCTGACACCATCACCACAATCAGTGCTGTAAATATATTCATCACCTTCAAAAATTTCCTTTCTCCCTCTTATTTTTATAATAAGAACACTTAACATCACTCTTTAATAATGCCAGTTTGACTCTTTAATTGTCATATTCTGATATACTTCCAGCTCCAACCAGTGTTTGGAAGCACTTGTTGCTTGCTTATATAATACTTTACTGATACTCTTACTTGTACCTTAATTCTATCTTTATTAATAATCAAATGCATGGTGGCACACACCTGTAGTCCCAGCTACTCAGGAGACTAAGGTGGGAGGATTGCTTGATCCCAGGAGTTTGAGGTTGCAGTGAGCTATGATAACGCCACTGTACTCTACCTGGGGAGGCAGAGCAAGACCCTGTCTCAAAAAAAAAAAAAGAAAGAAAGAAAAGAAAAAAGAAATCAAATGCACCTGTAATTTTAGAGATCCAAGGAAATGTATGGGTATGGACTGGGCACAGTGGCTTATACCTGTAATCCCAAAACTGGAAAGTTAAGGCAAGAGGATTGCTTGAGGCTAAGAGTTCGAGACCAGCTTGGTCAACGTAGCAAGATCCTGTCTCTACAAAAAATAAAAAATTAGCTGAGCAAGGTGGTGCATACCTGTAGTCCCAGCTACTCAGGAGGCTGATGCAAAAGGATTACTTGAACCCCGGAGTTCAAGGTTATGGTGGGCTATGATTGTGCCACTGCCCTCCAGCCTAGGTGACAGAGCAAGACCCTGTCCCTGTCTCTTAAAAAAAAAAAAAAAAAAAAAGAGAAAGAAAGAAATGTATGGATTTTATTAGCTGGGAAAGCATTTAAAGTACTGCTCTGGGAGTGTAGAGACTTGCATCTCAAGTTCTTTCATCGTCCAACTACAACCTTTGGTAAGTCATATGTTCATTGAACCATAGTTTCCTCATCTGTACAATGAAGGCTAGACCTAGAGGATGTCAGAGAACCTTTCCAGTTCGAAAATTATGTGGCCCTTAGTTCCCAGTTTTGAATTCAGTTTGTGAAGTTTTCAAACACTAACAGGAGAAGCCACACTAATTGGCACTCTGGGGAAAAGGTACAGAGAGGGGGATTAGGGAGTCTTCTGGAGATTCTTCTGGGATTATTTTAGGTTTAGGTCATATTAGAGGAGAATCTGGTCAAAATTGGAAGGAGCTTTCATTAGAGAAAGGTAATTTATGTGATTGGGTGGCCAGGTAGCTTTTATCTGGCTAGGGTTTTATGTACCTTCAAGGAATATATTTTTACCTAGAATATGCCTCAGGGTTTAGGCGAACTGAGAATCTGCTTTTAGGACTTCTATGAAACCTTGGGGATAAAGACAGACACTTTAATATTATTTATTTCACATTAATTATTTTATACATTTCAGAAACATTTGAAACTGATTTTTTGGCTAGGCATGGTATTTCATGCCTGTAAACTTCACACTCTAAGAGGCTGAAGTGGGAGGATCGCTTGAGGCCAAGAGTTTGAGGCCAGTCTGGACAACAAAGCGAGACTCCACCTCTACAAAAAATAAAAGAAAATGAGCCTGCTGTGGTGGCATGCCTGTAGTCTCAGCTGAAGCAGGAAGATCACTAATGCCCATGATTTCGAGCTGACAGTAAGGTATTCTTGTGCTACTGCACTCTGGTCTGGGTGATAGAGTGAGACCCCGTCACTGAAAAGACCCCAAACAACAATGACAAAAAAAAATCTGATTTTTTTTTTCCCTTTATAGAACTGAGGTCATTTAAAAAATATTAAAACATTTTCTGTATCTTATAAAATTTATCATGTTTGATGTATTAAAAGCATAGTCTGATAATAGTTAAGAAGTTTACTAATAATTTATTTATTATTTATTTATTACATTCCAGAGAGAGTGGAATGGGTCAGTCTCCAGGGTTGGAGAAAGTCCTATTTTTTATTTCTTTTTGGAGACAGAATTTGATCTGTCACCCTGTCTAGAGTTCAGTGATGTCATCATACCTCACTATAACCTCAAACTCCTGGGCTCAAGCAATCCTCTTGCCTCAGCCTCCCTAGTAGCTGGGACTACAGGCACATGCCACCATGGCTGGCTAACTTTTCTATTTTTTGTAGAGATAAGGTCTCACTCTTGCTCAGGCTGGTCTTGAACTCCTGAGCTCAAGCAAATCCTCCTGTCTCGTAATTTATTTAATGTTTAAAAAGTTTCCTCCAGTTTATTTCTTTGATAGTTCTCTCACTGTATGCTTTTATGTTTCTCTAATTGCCAGCTATATCTGAATTCCTAAATCTTTTTATTTCTTGTCCAGCTTTCTTTCCTAAAGTCTAGACTCTTGTTTTCACCTTATACCAGATATCTCTATCTAGATATTGACCAGAAGCTTAAAACTCTATATAATAAATAGATTTTTCAAAACCTCTCTCTCCTGTTTATGTGATTGTCATTGCCATCTACTCAATTGCCAGTGTTAAAACCTAGGAATCATTCTTTTAAAAAATTTTTAAGGCTGGGCGCAGTGGCTCACACCTGTAATCCTAGCACTCTGGAAGGCCAAAGGTGGGAAGATCACTCAAGGTCAGGAGTTCAAAACTAGCCTGAGCAAGAGCGAGACCCTGTCTCTACTAAAAATAGAAATAAATTAATTGGTCAACTAAAAATATATAGAAAAAAATTAGCTGGGCATGGTGGCGCATGCCTGTAGCACCAGCTACTCAGGAGGCTGAGGCAGGAGGATTGCTTGAGCCCAGGAGTTTGAGGTTGTTGTGAGCTAGGCTGACGCCACGGCACTCACTCTAGCCTGGACAACAGAGTGAGACTCTGTCTCAAAAAAAAAAAAGAAAAAAATTTAATTGACACATAGTAATTATACATATTTATGTGGTGCCTAGTAATGTTTTGTTAGATACAATGTATAGTGATCACATCAGGGTAATTAGCATATCTGTCGTCTCAAACATTTATCTCTTCTTTATGTTGGGAACATTCAACACAAAGAATATTGTATTCTAGCTATTAGAAACTATATAATATATTATTAACTGTAGTCATCCTATAGTGCTATTGAATACTGGAACTTATTTTTTCTAGCTAGCTATAATTTTGTATCTTTTAACAAATACAGGAGTCATTCTTTTTTTTTTTTTTTTTTTGAGACAGAGTCTCGCTTTGTTGCCCAGGCTAGAGTGAGTGCCGTGGCGTCAGCCTAGCTCACAGCAACCTCAAACTCCTGGGCTCGAGTGATCCTTCTGCCTCAGCCTCCCGGGTAGCTGGGACTACAGGCATGCGCCACCATGCCCGGCTAATTTTTTATATATATATCAGTTGGCCAATTAATTTCTTTCTATTTATAGTAGAGACGGGGTCTCGCTCTTGCTCAGGCTGGTTTTGAACTCCTGACCTTGAGCAATCCGCCCGCCTCGGCCTCCCAAGAGCTAGGATTACAGGCGTGAGCCACAGCGCCCGGCCAGGAGTCATTCTTGATTCTCCCTTCTGGCATATCCAATTGGCCACCAGATTTGTTATTTTTCCTCTGTCTCTTCTACCCCTTTATAGTTGTGCTCCCTGCTGTTCTATTTCAAGCTCTCGTCATTCCCTGCCTGGGCTGTTGCAGTGACCTTTAGAGAAATGCTTTTATAATCAGAAGAAAGTTAATATATTTTCATTATACAAAATGTCGAAAACACAAAAATAACTAGATGAAAACACATCACCCATAACTCTAAGATATAATCACTGTTAACATCTTGGTTTCTTTTTTCATGTATGTATTTTTTTCACAGTTGAGGTAATTTTGTGTGTGCATCCTTTTCTCTACTTTTTCTCATCATTTGCCTGTGTCCATGTTTACAGAGTTTTTTGTTGTATTTATTTATTTAAAGAAAATTAAAAAAAAAAATGAGGTCTTGCTGTGTTGCCCAGGCTGTAGTGCAGTTGATATTCACAGGTGCGAACATTGTGCACTACGGTGTCAAACTCCTGGCATCAAGTGGTTCTCCTGCTTCAAGCCTCCGGAGTAGCTAGGACTACAAGTGTGCACCACCATGCCTAGCTAATTTTTAAAACATTTTTGGTAGAAGTAGGGTCTTGCTATGTTGCCCAGGGTGGTCTCAAACTCCTGGGCTCAAGCAATCTTCCTGTCTCAGCCTCCCATACCTGTAATCCCCAAATGGAATTATAGGTATGAGACACCATGCCTGGTGGCTTCGGATTTTCTTGTAAGTTCCCCAAGTCATTCTAATGTGTAGCAAAGTTTGGGAACCACTGCCATAACATACCTTTTTACAGAGAGGGACTAGAGTCTTTAAACAAAAATGTTTGGACTTTGTCATTATTCCTGTATTGAATTTTATTTCATGCTGGGTCTGTTTTCTTCTTAAGCTATTGTTATTGAAAACTGGAGCTTGAGTTCCTGAAAAGATATTGATGGGCTACTATTTCATAGAAAAAAGGGGTTCATTTTAATGTAAATATCTTAAGACCTTTTTAGAACTTGGTGTGGGATAGAACAGGTGAAAGGTAAGATGACACTCTGTAGAAGTTTCTCTCATTTATTACCATAGAATTGAATTCTTTCCTGGTTTCTGAAATTCTTAGGCAAAATCTCTGCTCTAGTCCTTGATTTTCTTTCTTGTTTCTCTTTTAAAAATAAATATGAAATAAGTAAATTGATAACACAAGTGTTATCTTTGTAGCTGACTATTTGACTTGATGAGCTGTTTTTCCTTCTTAATGGGTTCAGTCTATAAGGTCATCTTGGTCTGTATCTTTATAAATGGCAGAAGATGATCCAGTTCTCATTTGAATATTTGAATATGTTAGTGTTTTCAGATGAAGTGAGAATAAGGGCAGTGTTTTTAAAGTTCATTCTTTTATATTCGGATTTGTCATTTGAAATTTTAAAAGGTTAAGGAATTAGTAACACTGCTCTTTTCAAAATTTAAGCTCATTTGAATAGTAATGCTTAAAATGGTTAATTTCACTAGTTACTGAAGACTAATAACTAAAAAAATCTTTTAGTGTAACTCTTTAGTCTGGGGAAACCATATTTTGGGAACAGTATACATTTATGTTGTTATAGTTGTTAAGGTGTTGGCTATACTCCAAAGGTGATACTTTTAATTTTGTGGAATATCTAATTTTGAAAGCAAATTTAATCTCGCACTCTCTTTTTGCTATCATATTCTTCTTTCCCTCCCAGTGGCAGCATGGAACCTGCGTTTCATAGAGGAGATCTTCTCTTCCTAACAAATCGGGTTGAAGATCCCATACGAGTGGGAGAAATTGTTGTTTTTAGGATAGAAGGAAGAGAGATTCCTATAGTTCACCGAGTCTTGAAGATTCATGAAAAGTATGTGTAAACTGTATCTTCTCTGTTTTTAAATGTTTTTGTTTAAGTGTTTTCAGTATTTAGTTTTGATAGCTTAAAGAATATGAAAGAGTGAGGAACACACCCCCACCCCCCACCCCCGCCCTTCTTCCAGTCCATTTTTGTGAATATATGAAGGTTTGGACAACTGTAAATAGTTATTTATTGATTCATTTATTTCCTTAAAAGTTTTTTCCAGAGGTTTTACTTAGTTCTCTTCTACTTCCCAAGCAATCAGTAATCCTGTATGTAACTCAAAAAAAACATGATCTAAGAATTGATTTTAAGCAGAATCTTCTTTTTTTGAGACAGAGTCTGCTTTGTTGCCCAGGCTAGAGTAAGTGCCGTGATGTCAGCCTAGCTCACAGCAACCTCAAACTCCTGGGCTCAAGCAATCAGTCCTGCTGCCTCAGCCTTCTGGGTAGCTGGGACTATAGGCATGCGCCACCATGCCTGGCTAATTTTTTTAAGTAGAATCTTCTGATCTAAGCGTCTTGCGTTTTAGAATTGGAAAGGACATACCCAAAACCTTAGAATCACCTTGGGGTGGAGGTGGGCCATGAAAATAAGCGGAGAATTTGACCTCTCTGGGTCTCAATTTCCTTATCTGTAACAGAGAGAGGTTTAGGAAGAATCTCTGAGAATTAACAGATCTCTTTGAGTTTTATGTCTATGGTGCCCATCCAACTACATATTTCTCATTCCTCCCTCCCAAATCTGTGGTATTTCTAGTCAAGGAAAACTTTCAGAAGGGAAGGAAAAAAAGAATTGAAAGAATAAGGAGGCATCATGCAGGACACGCTGAGGGGAAGGGGAAGTGAAACAGTGGGGGTGCTTTAGGTTCTTGAATATTTAGCAGCCTGCAATAAATATTTTTTACTACCCTATATCCTATAAAGTAATATTTTTTCTCCACTTAAAGAAGAAGAAACTGTCAATTATTTCTTTTTGAAAATCCCTGTAAACATACTAGTTTAGAAGAGTTCTTTCTTCATTGATACGAAATAAAGATGTCACTGCTTTCTTTCTCTTTCTTTTGTTTTTTTTAATCATCAGACTTCAGTATATATATTGAAAGATTGTAATTTAAAATGGCATGGCCGGGGCAGTGGCTCACATCTGTAATCCTAGCACTCTAGGAGGCTGAAGTGGGAGGATCACTTGAGGTTAGGAATTTGAGACCAGCCTGAACAAGAGTGAGACTCTGTCTCTACTAAAACTAGAAAACCTGGCGTGGTGGCTGGCACCCGTAGTCCCAGCTACTTGGGAGGCTGAGGCAAGAGAATTGCTTGAGCCCAGGAGTTTGAGATTGCTGTGAACCACAGCACTCTAGCCCAGGCAGCAGAGTGAGACTCTTGTCTCCAAAAAAAAAAAAAAAAAATACAGTGACATTCTATTATTGACTGTGAAGGAATAAATTTTAAATTTTTAGAAATTTATTTCGGAATTGTAGAGGTTTTCCAGATTTTTAAAGTGTATTTCTTAATTCTCAGCAATGCCTGGCGTGAACAAAGCAGAACCAACTTTCCCTTGACTTTATTAAAGTTAATCAAATTAAGCCCAGGCCCTGCTTCAGCTAGAGCAGAAGCTCTCCATTTTTATGTATTGTCCTTTGAAATTGAGTTCCTAGACTTCATTTTAAAACAATTTCAGGTCAGATTCATTGACAGATAATATATTAATTACAAGTTTTTAATTTTTTATTTTAATATTTATTTATTGAGACAGAGTCTTGCTCTTTCACCCAGGCTAGAGTACAGTGGCATTATCATAGCTCACTGCAACCTCAAACGCTTGGGCTTGATCCTCCTGCCTCAGCCTCCCAAGTAGCTGGGACTACCAATGAGCACCACCACGCCTGGCTAATTTTTCCTTTGTTTCTTTTTTGAGACAGAGTCTCACTTTGTTGCCTGGGCTAGAGTGCCATGGTGTCAGCCTAGCTCATAGCAACCTCAGACTCCTGGGCTCAAGCGATCCTTCTGCCTCAGCCTCCCAATAGCTGGGACTACAAGCACACGCCCCTATGCCCAGCTAATTTTTTTTCTGTATATTTTTAGTTAGCCAATTAATTTCTTTCTATTTTTCGTAGAGACAGGGTTTCACTCTTGCTCAGGATGGCTTCGAACTCCTGACCTTGAGCCCTTGAGCAATCTTCCCACTTTGGCCTCCCAGAGTGCTGGGATTACAGGCGTGAGCCATCTCTCCTGGCCCGTAGGTTTTCTATTCTTAGTAGAGACATGTTCGTGCTGTTGCTCAGGCTAGTCTCCAACTCCTGAGCTCAAGCAGTCCTCTCACTTTGGCCTCCCAGAGTGCTAGGATTACAGGCGTGAGCCGCTGCACCCAGCCTATTTTTAATTTTTTTAGTTTATTTTTATTTTTTAAAGACAAGCTCTCACTCCACTGCCTAGGCTGGAGTGCTGTGGCTGATCATAGCTCACTGCAACCTCAAACTCCGGGGCTCAAACAGTCCTCCAGCTTCAACCTCCCAGGTTGCTGGGACTACAGGTGCATACCACCATGTCCAGCTTCCTTACATTTTTACAATAATTTTTAAGAGAATTCTGAAGATTTTAAGATGTATGATACTGGTAATCTGGGGGGGTTAGTAATTTATTTTAGACTCTTGAGATGTTTTCAACTTGCTGGGCTGTTTAGATAACAGACCCAGTTAATATTATGAAGTTTCTAGTTTCCTTTTTTTTTTTTTGGTGAGACTGACATACCTGATTGGAATTATCATTTGGTTTAATAGTATTAACATTGTTCTTTTTCGTTTTTTAATTTTTTTTATTTCAGTATATTATGGCACACTGTTGTTAAATATGGAGACAAATAACAATCAAAATACATGTATTAAGTAAGTTAATATGACATTGAACACTGGCTAGTGATCAAATGTTTGGAAAGAGAAATTTCACCACTAAATTGACTTAGTCCTTAGCTTTGCTTTTTCCCTTGCAGATAGATGCACTTATTCTGCACCCATTTGGCTTTCTGGGTCTTATTTTTCTCATCTATAAAGTGGTGATTTCCTCCTTCCTAATGTCATAGTATCATGATGAATGAATTAAAATCTAAACGCTTTGAGCTCCTTAGAGGTAGATAATATTAAATATTTGATCCCTGTGTTAGCAAGGGAAAGATCCCGTATAAATGTGCCTTCAATCAGTATTTTGAGCCTATGAGTTGTGAAGTGCTGTAGTAGGTCTTAATTGGTCTAATAAGAGCTGGTTGCTACCAGAAAATATTTGTTCCACCATTAGTAGATGAAGGTGATCTATGCTTTTTCAGAGAAGCTGCAGCGTCTCTCCAGATTATATCCCAGAAAGGGGAAATTGGGTGTGATTGTTTGGCCAATAAATCAAGTCTTTGGGAATAACTGAGATCTCCTGTAGTATCTCTTCCCTTTTCTGGGTAGTTTCCCATTTCCTGGTTTTTGTCTCCTCATATCTGATTTTACTCTTATGCATCTGAGGGGTTAATGTTATTTTCATGGTTGAATTGATTCTTTCTTCCTGATGCTCTTGATTTTCACTCTTGCAGCTAGCCTCTCCTGGTACCTGTCCTCTTTTACCCTCCAGGATTTTCCTGACTTTCTTTCACTTACTGAATTGTCAGCTACAGATTATTTTTCTCTGTATATATTTGCATTTTTTGTAACTGGAATCTCATTTTTAATGTGACTATTTGCACTTAACTGTTTTTGGTGCTTGCGACACCTCCCAATTTAGTTTCTTCTGCAAATTTAGTGTCTAGTGAGCCAGTTTCTGACTTAGAATCTAAGTGGATACTAGTCAATAGAAATGTGAAGCCAATTTTCTTCTTCTAGTACATTGGTTAATACACATTCACTTGAATTTTAAGCTGTAAAATATACTTTGCTTCGAATTAAATTTTAAAATTATTAGAAACCTTATTGTTATTTAGTAGAATTAAACTAATAATTTTCTGATCAAGGTACTGTTCCTATAAACCCTGGCATGTGTGAAGAATTGAGGTGCTTTTTCTTTTAAAATTAACTTTTTTGATTTCTCTTCACCTCTTCCCCCCTCCCCCCTCAAAAAAAAACATTAACTTTTTTCCCTAATATAAAAGTAATACATGTTTGTTGAAGGAAAAAAAAAAAGAAGATAAAGGCAAGCTAAAGAAAGCCATAGATAGCCACTATTTATACATTGATCTATGTTATTTTAGCTGTTTCTTTGTTCCTTGCAACTTGTTGGTTGGAGAACTGGCTCATTCTGTAGTTTTTGATAATATGCATTTTGCCAATTATACCTAATGGGGTAGGTTACTGTGTTCCTTTGCTTTTTGTAGTTCCAGAAAATTGTTGGTTTGTATATGTTTTAACATAAAAATGAGAGTATACTGTACATTGTATTTTGTACTCTTTTCTTCACTTACTGAAAATCATATACTTTTCCAGTGTCATTAAACATTCTTTTACAACATTATTCTTAATATTATATAGTATTCCAATGCCTTACTATTGGACTTTTAATTGGTTTTTAGTCTTTCCATTTTATAAACAACACAACTGTGAATATCCTTTTAGCTAAAGAAAGAATTATTTTGATACTAGGAATGGTGATAAGATATCATAGTGCCACAGGAATTTTTGGTTAACAAGAACAAATTTTTTGCTTTCGAATGTCATGAAGGTATTTGATGACTTGAGTTTCCCTTACTCTTTTAAGGCAAAATGGACATATCAAGTTTTTGACCAAAGGAGATAATAATGCAGTTGATGATCGAGGCCTCTATAAACAAGGACAACATTGGCTAGAGAAAAAAGATGTTGTGGGGAGAGCCAGGGGGTAAGTACAGAGGGGAACATCTTCAGCTTCTTAATCAGATTGTCTCATCATATACAATTAGATATAGTGATTTGGTTCTGGTTTCATCATTCTGTCCTTTGAAAGCTATGCTTCTTAAAATGCATCTAAATCTTTTGATATACTACTCCAGAGGGGAGGAACTAGTATACAATAAAAGAATAGAATATTGGTGATGAGATGGTGAATTGGATGTGACAGTTTAAAAAATTCATTTATTCAGTTCACTTAAGAGCACCTTCCATGTGCTCTAATGTCTCTGCTATGCTAGGCCCTGGGGATCCAGAGTAATATGGTTCCTGCTTCATAAAACTTACGTTTCTCAAGATTTTACAGGCCGGGTGCAGCGGCTCATGCCTGTAATCTGTAATCCTCGCACTCTGGGAGGCTAAGGTGGGAGGATGGCTTGAGCTCAGGAGTTTGAGGACAGCCTGAGCAAGAGTGAGACCCATCTCTACTAAAAATTTTAAAAATTAGCTGGACGTGGTATTGCGCACATGTAGTCCCAGCTATTCAGGAGACTGAGGCAGGAGGATCCCTTGAGCTCAGGAGTTTGAGGTTGCTGTAAGCTAGGCTGATGCCATGGCACTCTAGCCCAGGTAATAGAGTAAGACTCTGTCTCCAAAAAAAAAAAATGGAAAAAAAAAAGAATTTACTGATACTGGGCACAGTGCCTCAGGATTTAATCCCAGCATTTTGGAAGGCTGGGGAGGAAAGATAATTTCAGGCTAGTTTTGAGACCAGCCTGGGCAACTTAGTGAGACCCAATCTCTACAAAAAAAATTTTTAAAAATTATCTGGGCATGGTAGTTTGTGCTATAGTGTCCCAGCTATTTGAGAGGCTGAGGCAGAAGGATCACCTGAGCCTAGGAATTTGAGGCTTCAGTGAGCTATGATGATGCCACTGCACTCCAGCCTGGGTGACAGAGTAAGACTCTGTCTCTCTTCAACAACAACAAATTTACTGAGTCAGCAATTTAAAGTGTTCATCTAAATTAATTTTATCATGTTAATATATTCCATACAATTTTATTTCTGGTCTTGAAATTGATGAGGTCAAATGACATTAAAAGTTATATTAAGCCTGTTTGTTTCAGATTTTATCAGGAGAACAGATGAGTGGAGGACAGGAATTGTAAGTTATTGGTATTAAGGAAGTATGGGATTTTTGCTACCTTAATGTTATTAATAGTATTAACAATAACTCCCATTTATTAGGGCTTACTGTGTACCAGATACTTACTCTAAACGCTTCAAAAATATTACCGCATTTTAACCTCAAAACAACCCTAATATTCCCATTCTACAGATGAGGAAACACAGAGGAGTTATTTACCTAATATCACACTGATGATAAGTGGCTGGCTGGCTCTGTAGCCTACCCTCTTAATCATCACACCGATACTACTGGCATAAGATTTCTGCAGTGGGTAGTTGCTGGTTCCCACTATTTGGATGCCACACTTGCCACTGTCAGAACCTCTGCTCCTTTTGACCTAGGATAGACTGTGGTTAGAGAGTGATCTCACCAGTGAGCAGGCCTGAGAAACACTGATCCTATAGAGAAAGATGTGCGAGGCGATAAATGGAAGTTAATAGCAGGAGAGTTGCTTAGTTTGGGACCAAAGAGATCAGATATGAATAAGCACCGTTGTGTTTGTCCTCTGCAGAGCTGTTTTTTGTGTATGCCACCACTTCAGAGGAACTTGGTTTCCTATGATGGAGCTAAAAATACCTTCATAATCCCAATTAGGGCATCAGTGCTTCTGAGAAAGTATGGTCCCTATATATCCCTCGGTTCCCAAGATGCTGCCAATATGATTATTCAGACTCATCGACCTCTTTGAGTCTTTTTGTTTTTCCTCTAATTGTGAATATACAGATTCATGCAGAAACATAAAATATAAGTCATCAAAAAGCAAAGTCAAGCCGGGCACGGTGGCTCACGCCTGTAATCCTAGCACTCTGGGAGGCTGAGGCGGGCGGATTGCTCGAGGTCAGGAGTTTGAAACCAGCCTGAGCAAGAGCAAGACCCCGTCTCTACTATAAATAGAAAGAAATTAATTGGCCAACTAATATATATAGAAAATTAGCCGGGCATGGTGGCGCATGCCTGTAGTCCCAGCTACTAGGGAGGCTGAGGCAGGAGGATCACTTGAGCCCAGGAGTTTGAGGTTGCTGTGAGCTAGGCTGACGCCACGGCACTCACTCTAGCCTGGGCAACAAAGCGAGACTCTGTCTCAAAAAAAAAAAAAAAAGCAAAGTCATTTCTGATCCCTTTCTTTTCCATCTCTATAAATATTTACTGTTACCTTTGTGATGTGTTTTAGCCTTTATGTATAGAGATAAAGATGCGAATGTTAATAATATATGCATCTTTATACATATATAAACACATGTTGTGTATGGAAGGAGAATGCTCACACTATTTTATAACCTTCCCCACCCCCAAAAAAATTGCTAGTATATTTACAAATCAATAGATTTTATCTTATATCATCATTTCATAGCTGTATGCTATTCCACTATATGGATAGACCATACTTTTATTCAGTCAGCTCCTATTATTAGATACTCTGTTTCCAGCTTTTTTATTGTGAACAATGTTATGATAGACATCCTCGTTACATATATCTCACTGCTTCTGCTCAATCATTCTTCACAGTAAATTCCTAGAAACATTCCTAGAAACTGGGTGAAACATATTCATATTTTAAGACTTTGGACAAATTTTTCCATACTGTTTTATCTATACTCCCACCAGGATAACAGTGTCCCTTTGCCTAGGTTTTGATTCTTAAATGCTTATTACAGCTCTGTCTGCTCACTCTGGCCCTTTGGTTGCATAAAAGATGCATCATCCTATCAAAGGTTAGAGTAGCTAACTTGTCTTTCTGAAGAAGTTTTGAAAAATCCCAAACTATATATAATATACCTTTTTCTGGCTTTTCATAAAAAAAAAATGTAATAGTCTAGTACTCTGTGAATTAAGTAACTTTCCATGAAGTATAAAAAACCATCTGTGACATGAACAGCAGGAGCACAGAATCTTCACTGTACAAATTCACTTTGCAGTGATTTTACCACCACTTACCTTGACACATAATGAAACATATCACCTTCTTTTGTGGAAATTGTATTTATAAAACACTAAGTTGATATTTCAAAGTCGGGCTGTACCCAAACTTTCAGAACAGAGCTTTTCTGCAGGGAGATCTGTGAATGTGGTACAAATGTCTTTATGCATTTTCAAAAATGTTTTGTTTTAGGTTTTTATTTTCTGAGAGAATCTCGCTCTCTTGCCTGGGCTAGAGTGCCGTGGTGTCAGCCTCTACAGGCAACCTCAACTCCTGAACTCAAGGATCTCCTGCCTCAGCTTCGGGTAGCTGGACTACAGCATGCACCACTATGCCCGGCTAATTTTTTTTCTATTTTAGTTGTTTGCTAATTTTTTGCTATTTTTAGTAAGGCGGTCTCACTCTGCTCAGGCTGGTCTCAAGCTCCTGAGCTCAAGCAATCCTCCACCTCAGCCTCCCAGAGTGCTAGGATTACAGGTGTGAGCCACCGCGCCTGGCCAGTTTTGGGGTTTTTTGAACAGCTGCACACTAAAAAATTTTACACTGAGGCCTAAGGCTCTAAATTAAATAATTTTAAAATTACTGGAGATATAATTATATATTTAGATTACAAATTCTCAATATTAAAGTGTACATTCAGTGGTTTAGTACATTCACAAGGTTGTACAACCATCCCTCTTATTCCAGAAGCTCTATCACCCCAAAAATAAACTCTATACTCATTAGCAGTCATTCCCTTCCCTACTTCCTGTAGCCTCTGCCAACCACTAATCTACTTTCTGTCTGTATGGAGTTGCCTCTTCTGGACTTTTCATATAACGGAATCATAACAATATGTGGTCTTTTGTGTCTGGCTTCTTTCACCTAGGCATAATGTTTTTAAGATTTATTCATGTTGTAGCATGTAATAAAAACAAATTTTAGAAAAGAAACTAACACTGAACCAATTAAGGATTTAATAGGGTGATTTTTTTCTAAATTCAAGAAGTTGAAAAGCTGAAGAGGATTGTTCATCAAAGAAGATTAGAGAACAGGAAAAAGGACAAAAGACTTGCAGAAGATTAGGGAGTAGAAATATTGACAATAGAAGGAAAATAAATATAGAAAGGAGTAGAGTGATTGGGCTTTCTGTTGACTAAAATTGGTTTTGTAGATAACACTTTGAAATGTTTTTGTTTTTGTTTTGTTTTGAGACAGGGTCTTGCTCTGTCACCCAGGCTGAAGTACAGTGGCATCATCGTAGCTCACTGAAGCCTTGAACTTCTGGGCTCAAGTGATCTTCCCACCTTGGCCTTCAAGTAGCTGGGACTACAGGCATGCACCATAATACCTGGCTATTTTTCTATCTTTTGTGAGACAGGGTCTGCTATGTAGCCCAGGCTGGTCCTGAGCTCCTGGCCTCAAGTGATCCTACTCCTTAGCCTCCCAAGTGCTGGGCATGGCACATGTGCACTGCATCTGGCCACATATTCTTTTTAAATTGGATACTGGTCCAAACTTCCTGGATATAGACTCTTTTTGACATCTGACATAATTGTCCTAAGGTCTCTTAATTTTTTTTTTTTTTTTTTAGACAGAGTCTCGCTTTGTTGCACAGGCTAGAGTGAGTGCTGTGGCGTCAGCCTAGCTCACAGCAACCTCAAACTCTGGCTCAGCAATCCTTCTGCCTCAGCCTCCGAGGCTGCGGGACTACAGGCATGGCCACACGCCCCTAATTTTTTATATATATATATTAGTTGGCCAATTAATTCTTTCTATTTATAGTAGAGACGGGTCTTGCTCTTGCTCAGGCTGGTTTCGAACTCCTGACCTCGAGCAATCCGCCTGCCTCGGCCTCCCAGAGTGCTAGGCTTGAGCCACCGCGCCCGGCCGGTCTCTTAATTTTTGTGCCATCTTTTCTTTACTGTTTTTGGCCTTTTGCTTAATGATCTCTGTTCATTTTCTCACAAAACATTATCAGATAGTTCTTTCCGCTGAGGCTACTTCCTCAGCAGCACCTTTGATCCCACAAATTCTCAGGGAAATCTATTTAACCATAGAGAATATATTTTACCTTCTAGGTAGATACACAGGGAATGTATTTTACCTTCTAGATATTAACTTGGTATAGGTTGGTATTGGAGTTGGTTTTCTGGGTGGTATTTATTTTATTTATTTTAAATCTCATTCTGCTTATTAGCAACTCTGCTTTAGCATATGAATTTATCTGAGCAAAAAAGGGAAAAAGTGCAACTGAGTTGAATTTAAGATGACTGATGATAGCAGCATTATGCACTTGATTATCAACTCTTTGCTGTCACTGTCCATGGAGGGATGCAGTAGCACAGATAATTAAATCTTTTGTTCAACTTTGGACTGCCTCGTCATATGCTGGCAACCTTATGTCTTGCTTATGTTACTCCTAAAGATCAAGTTGCTTTCATTTCACTCATAGTGGGCAAGGAAAAGCTAACCTTAAGAACAGTGGCTCCATGGATGACTCATAAGACTATGAGTGGTTGCTGGGAGCGAAAGGTTGTGATTCCTTGGGCATAGATATATTACATGGAGGTAACAAAGTCTCTACAGGTCAGAACGGCTGCTTATTAATCATCAGATCAGAATTAGCAGCTTGTTGTTTTAAAAGAAATCACAGATGCTTTTCTAACTCTTAATCTGCATTTTACTATGAGGCATTCACCTTTATGTTTTTAAATAGCTGATTTACCTTCACTGAAAGTGATAGCTTTTATGAAAGTATTAAAAATTAGACAAAAGAAATGTTACTGCATTAAAAAAGAAAAAAATATGTATATTAAAAATATAGAAAACCTCTATCCACTCTTCTTAGAGCTTAACAATGCTATTGTTTAATGACTGTTACTTTTCAGCTCTTGGAGGCCCCAGGGGTTGAGACTAAAGCATAGGCCCTAAGAGGGGATATTATTTGCCACCAAACACGTATTCTATGCATCTTACGCTAGAACCCTGCTTTAGTATGTAGGAGCATCACTTGGGCCCCACCTTTCAGAGATTCCCTGAGTCAGTAATCTTGGGTGATAGAATCTGCATTTTTAACAAGCTAAGTTATTCTAACAAAGAAGGTCTAGGCTTTAAGAAATGCCAGCGTATGGAATGGGAGTTAGGAAATGGGGTGGGAGAGACAGGTTGGGGTAATGCTGCCAGAAGGGAGAGGGACAGGAAGAGGTAAGAACAAGAGACAGGAAGTAAGGGGAGTTCTTGAAAGGAAGTGAAATGTACCAAAGACAAAATATCTGTTCTTCATTTGCCCAAGGCTTTGACAGGTGGAGGTGTTACGTGGGAGGTGATTTCTGTTTGTGCTGCCTTTGGCGTGGTGCAAAGGTTGTGGGTGCCTTGAATAAAAGTATCTGGGATATTTTTAAGTGTGCAAAGGTCAGCCTCCACTTCAACCCAACCTCCCTTCTCTACGACAGGCTCTAGCTTAGTACAGCATCACCCAGTTCGCTCTGGAGTCCAGCAGTAGAAGAGGGCGGGGAAAGAAGGAAGTTGTGTCCTTGCTAACCACCTTTCTCTGCCTGTTAATTTTCTCTTTTTGCCCTGAATTCTTGTGATGTTGAGGCATTTTTAACATAGAGGCAAAAATTGAAGCCCTGGGAGAAAATGAGATTTCCTCAAAAGAGGGCAAAAAGAAGAGGCCTGGACATTCAAACCTTTAATCAGGCAGTATTTACTGTATGTCTGCTGTGTACAAGGCACCACGTTGGCCTTGAGGCTACAGGGGGATCAAGATTGGCATCGTTGTTGCCCTTATAAAGCTTACAGTGTGGTAGGGGAGATGGACACTATACAGCTAGTTTTACAACTAATTATTCAATTAAAATTATGATAGTTATGATAAAGACCTCAAAGGAAGTACATCAGGTGCTATAGGATTATTTAAAAGGTGGTTTTGCCTCGCTTGAGGGAACAAACTTTAGGGGCAAAAGGAAGGAAAGCTAGCAGAAAAAAGGTGTAGCAGCCAAAGAGATAGATGAAGAAACAGATTTGTGGTACGTTACATAAACCAAGATTGGGGGGGTTTCAAGAGCAAGCTTATGGTCATCAAAGTTAAATGCTGCAGAGATGTAAAGGAAGATGAGGGCTGAAACTGGTTTGCTGTATATGGTGATTAAAACTGTTCTAAAAAAGTTTCAGGATTAAGAGGGCTAAACCCAGATTACAGGTAGTTAAAAAATGAGAGGGTGGTGAAATCCAGAGTAGTATAATAGACCTCTTCTACTCACTTTTTGGCCATTTAGCATGAAGTACCTTGTAATGTTCTGGTTGTATTTGCCTTGGCTCCCCAACTAGATTGACAACTCCCTAAAGGTTACAGTGACAAACCTAGCCCCTAGCACTGTATCGGCATGTAGCATTACAGTCACAGCTAGAGATCTAAGACCTTGGATCTGGTGCTGGTTCTGCCTCCCAGAAGCCATGTACCTTGGGCGTGATCATCTGTTTCCTCATCTCTAAAATGGTGATATTCCTAACTTCCCTATAAGATGGGCCGTTGAAAGGATCAAATAGGGCAATATATAGAAATGAACTTTGTGAAATGAAAATTAGTATTCTATGGAAGATACTGATAATGTTCAGTGAATGGTAATACTTAGGAATTTTTGTGATCAGTTTTTTGTTTGTTTGTTTTAGATTTGTTCCTTATATTGGAATTGTGACAATCCTCATGAATGACTATCCTAAATTTAAGGTAAGAGCCTGTACTATATATTTCATTAAAAGTGTGATATTTATACCCCAGAGCGACTGCAAGAAGAAAAAAAAAAAAGAAAAAAAAAAGTGTGATATTTTGTTTAATTTTGAAAGCTATTAAATCAATGATAGTTAAAAGATTAAAGAATAATTAGATGGTTTAGTAACTTATTATGGTCAAAAAGGCCAGTTTATTAATTATCTCTGAGGACTTGTGAACTTTTCAAAGCTTCCCTGACTGTGATTCTGTGTTTATTTTCTAGTATGCAGTACTCTTTTTGCTGGGTTTATTTGTACTGGTCCATCGTGAGTAAGAAGTCTGCCTTGATGTTCCTGGGAAGACGCCGTACTTTTTGTTACTGAATGTTTGGAGTAGATACTGGTCTGTGATTGGCGGAATGGAGAACACACACGTTGGCACTTCTTGGTAGCTCTGGTTTGCATTAGTTTCTGTTTCCACGCCAGAATATGTGTGGGCGGGTGCATGTGCACCGTGGAGTGCACTCGAGGGGACTTTCAATCACAGAATTTCATAGTTGTCATTGTCACACTTTCGCATTTTTGTACATCAGTAAATTTTTTATATTAAAAGGTTGAGCCAAAGCCCCCAGTGTTTGTATTTTGAAGCCAAGCTTCACTTCTAAAGTGCCTACAGAGTTCTGTAAATGAAAATGCAGCTCTGCACGAGCTTGAAACCGTCATACCTCCTTATAATGGGAATGGCATATACTGAGGTGGTCATCAATCTTAACTTTTCAAAATTTTAAATAAAAGACTTTGCACATTGAACCCCTTATCCCTGAATTGTGTTTGTCGGGAAAGCTTCTGAAATTTGCCTTTCTTGGCTGGTTCTTAGTACCAGGGATATAAAGGCTTTAGTGTGAACAGTTCTTCAGCTAAGAATGTTGCCTTAATACTAACAACTGTTTTTTTGTTTGTTTTGTTTTGTGAAGCAAAAGTAGCCATTGACATTCATAGGAAATCTCTTAGTCATAAAATTGATTCTTCACTAGGGCGTGACTCAAATGTGTATAAACTCAGCTGGTGTTGCTGAGAGGCTCAGAAAATCTCACTTAGCTGTAGAAACTCATAACCCATTCTACACTTGAGACATTGTCAGCCCTTCCTACACGATGGCAGTGTGTGTGAGCATTTGGAAGAGGCACGATGAAGGTGCTGGCAGGCATTCTACTTGTCTTTATTTAAACTCTAATTTGCCTAAACCTGTTTTCTAAAGTGCCATGCTTTGCTTTTCTCTAATGCAGACTTAAGGCAGGCAGAGTTTAACGTAATGAATTCAAAGCCCAGTTATGTGTTTTCTTTTCTGTAAAATTGAGACAGTCAGGGAAATAGGGAGTATGGGGTAAGCCAGTGTGTTTTGAGCACAAAATACTCTCAGTGCTATCCTGTTCTCTTCTTGTATTAATGTGAAATCTCAAAGTAAGCAAGTTTTCTATATTGGGCTACATGAACTGTTTCTACTATTTGTTCAACTAAGCTGGAAATCAGTCTATGCTGTAATGCTAAGGGAATGAGAATAGGGACAATGCCTTCTGAAGCCCTCTCCCCAATAGAGAATAGTGCTGTCCAAATCCACTAACTAGGCTTTAGCCTTCGTACTTCAGATAAAGGCTCTTTTTTTTCTTGAGACAGAGTCTTACTCTGTTGCCTGGGCTAGAGTGCCGTGGCTCCGCCTAGCTCACAGCAACCTCAAACTTCAGGGCTCAAACGATCCTCCTGCCTCAGCTGCCTGATTAGCTAGGACTACAGGCGTTCGCCACCATGCCCGGCTAATTTTTATATATATATTTATATTTATTTATTTATTTTATTATTATTATTTTTTTAGTTGTCCAGCTAATTTCAGTTTTTTTAGTAGAGATGAGGTCTTGTTCTTGCTCAGGCTGGGTTTGAACTCCTGAGCTCAAACCATCCACCTGCCTGGACCTCCCAGAGTGCTAGGATTACAGGCGTGAGCCACCACGCCCGGCCAAGATAAAGGCTCTTAATGGTCTGTCTCTAAAGAGTATGAACCCTGCCTGACAAGTCACTGCTAACAAAAGCTTTTTTGAACCTGTCTGTGGGGCTTATATAGTACTTATGTTTTCTTTTTTTGTTTTGTTGTTTTTGTTTTTTTAGACAAGGTCTCACTCTGTTGCCCAGGCTAGAGTGCAGTGGCTTTATCACAGCTCACAGCAAACTCCTGGCTTCAAGCAATCCTCTTGCTTCAGCCTCCTTCAATAGCTGGGACTACAGACATGCACCGACACACCTGGCTGATTTTTTTTTTTTTGGTAGTGAAGGTGTCTGGGGTCTCACTATTTTGCTCAGACTGGTCTCAAACTCCTGGCCTCATGCATTTCTTCTGCCTCAGACTCCCAAAATGTCGGGATTACAGGTTGTGGGCCACCACACCTGTGTTTTCTTATGAGCCAAGAAAGGCTGTAAAACAGCCCCATATGTGAAATGGCAGAAAAATTACTATTTACTTCATTATTTTTTTTTCCATAATGACCTGTGGAGGATGGGGGTAACTCAGCCTAATCAGTGGACTGGCTCTCTTTTTGTACCAACCTTTCCAGGACTGCTCTGGGGGAAAGCAGCGTGCTTTGCTGAGTGCAGTTGAGATCCCAGGGTTCTCTTTGATCCTAGCTTGCTTGAGTGTAAAACATCCTTGTGTTAATATTTGTATCTCTATCTATCTGGATTTCTCTTCCTTATACACCTGTTAGGAGGAAAACATTAATACTTTACTCACTTGCATATTTTCATATCCATTTGTATAAAAGTATTACTTTTCCCCCTTTGCTGGGCACTCTAGTTGAAAGCAACAGCTAAACTTCTCTGAGAAAGTAGTCAAAGCATTTAAAAACATTTGAATCACTCCAATAGCTGAAAAAATATTAGGCCATTAAATATGAAACGTCCGATCTCAAGTCAAAAGGGTAGTTTAAAGAAGCAGTATAATTAATCAAAGTGTGCGCCTAAACTATTGACACCGTTTTGCCATCTTAACTGTAGCTTGTTTATGCCAGCAGCAAAGAAGCCTGGAGAGCGAGTGGCAATGAAATGGCAAAAGGTGTTTTCCACAGCTTCTTGAGAATTGAATATTTTTCCTTGCGAGAAGTGGTCCAAAGCCTGGAATAAGTGGTGGTCAGTGGTGCAAGGTCTGGTGAATACAGTGGATGATAAGAGAGTTTCCAAGTCCAGCCACCATAGTTTGAATAGCATTGTTTGTATGACATGTGGTCAAGCATTGTCTTGCAGGAGGATTGGCCTATTATCTATTGACTTAATCACAAGCATCCTCATCATTGCATCCAATTGATTGCAGTAGTCATGTGCTGTAATTGATTGACCAGGTTTCATGAAACTGTAGTGGATAACACCAGTGCTGGACCACCAAACAGACACCATTCACTTTTTTTGATGACTATTTGGTTTTGGACTGTTTTGGCACTTCATCTTTATCCAACCATTGTGCCGAATGCTTGCGATTGTCGAAAAGAATCCATTTTCATCACACGTAAGAATGGTGTAGAAATGGTTTGCCTTGGCCGGGCGCGGTGGCTCACGCCTGTAATCCTAGCACTCTGGGAGGCCGAGGCAGGCGGATTGCTTGAGGTCAGGAGTTCAAAACCAGCCTGAGCAAGAGTGAGACCCCGTCTCTACTATAAATAGAAAGAAATTAATTGGCCAACTAATATATATGGAAAAAATCAGCCAGGCATGGTGGCGCGTGCCTGTAGTCCCAGCTACTTGGTAGGCTGAGGCAGGAGGATCACTTGAACCCAGGAGTTTGAGGTTGCTGTGAGCTAGGCTGATGCCACGGCACTCATTCTAGCCTAGGCAACAAAGCAAGACTCTGTCTCAAAAAAAAAAAAAGAAATGGTTTGCCTTTATGTCATGACAGCAAAGAAAGGCAAGCTTCAAGACGATTTCTCTTCTGATGCTCGTTTAATTCATGCAGTACCCATCTTTCCAGCTTCTTTACCTTGCCGATTTGTTTCAAATGGTCTAATATTGTTGGAATAGTAACATCAAATCTTGCTGCTAATTCACGCGTAAGTTGAGATGGATTTACTTCCACTACAGCTTTCAGCTCATCGTTATCTACCTTGGTCTCAGGTCACCCACGTGGCTCATTTTCAAGATTAAAATCACCAGAATGGACCTCCTCAAACCATTGACATACTGTATGTTCATCAGCCACATCCTTCCCAAACACTTCATTGATAATTTGAGCTATCTGTGCTGCATTGATTGCATGACAGAACTCATTTGAAAATAACACGAATTTTTTACTTATCCATGGTTTTACAAAAATTGCTCTAAAAAATGTGAAAGATAATCACAAGCCAAAATGTGCATTTGAAAGGCTTCACAATAAACATAAAACAAGAAGTGTTGGGCTGGGTGTGGTGGCTCACGCCTGTAATCCCAGCACTCTGGGAGACCGAAGTGGGTGGATTGTTTGAGCTCAGGAGATCTGCCAGATCAAAAGTGAGACCCATCTCTACTAAAAAAAAAATAGAAAGAAATTTTGGCTGGACAACTAAAAATATATATATATAAAAATTAGCTGGGCATGGTGGCGCTACTCGGGAGGCTGAGGCAGGAGGATTGTTTGAGCCCAGGATCTGAGGTTGCTGTGAGCTAGGCTGATGCCATGGCACTTGGCCTGGCAACAGAGTGAGACTCTGTCTCAAAACAAACAAACAAAGAAAACCAAAACAAGAAGCATCAAAGTGAAGTGTCAGAGATATCAACTGTCAAACTTAGTACTTAAGGAAATCGGACATTTCATACTTAATAACCCAATGCAAAGATTATTGTGAGGAGGGGTATTATGTTCCCCGTTTTTTATATTATCTAGTTTAGTGCTAAATGTAAGACTTAAAACAGGATATTTTTAAAGTAAATGTATCTTCAAATACATAAGATGCCAGAGAGGTTTAATTTGGCAACTGAATGGAATTACAAGCCCTTTGAGATTTGGCAGCCCTAGTGGAAGCTGGGAGGGCTCAACCATTGTGAGTGAAGGGAATTAAAGAGGAGCGTGAGAATCAATAAAAATGAGAATTTGATAATGGGATTCTCTTTTGGCTATTATTCATCCACTCTCATCACTCCAACTAATGAATGTCTTCATATTATTTCCAGTTGCCTGTCCTCAGCTCTAGTCCCATGTTTCTCTGTTTCAGCTGGACACTTCTACTTCATTGTCCCATCTTTAAACTTAAGCTCATTAGTGATTCCTGCAAACTTCCCCTCTAAATTTCAGTTTCTATGAAGGAGTATGAACCTAGAGTTTTCATTTTCCTACCATTTCTAGTTACTAAGTCCTACATTGACCCCTGTCATTCCATTCTCATCACCATCACCTGAATCCAGAAATGTGCATTCAGTGGCTCCCTGTTGCTTGTGTACCAGTCTCCCTTCAGTGTGCCAGTCTGTGGCTATTTTAGATCATTACTGCCTGTTAATTAGTGTTCGTGTGCTTTTTGCTTTCAGAAATGCTTGTTTGAACCATAAATGTTGTGTTCACCCTACCTGTTTCCTACGTGTGATGTTCAAACTTTGAATTCAGCTAACGTTAAGCATCCTTGTGCTATACCCCTGGGTGTTTTCTCTTATATCATCTCCTGCTCTCGATTCTGCTTGTCTGAGTCTCACCGTCTTCGCAAGTGGTTGTTCTTCTACTTTCACTCAGTATTTGCAGCCTTGTACTGTTTAAGTTTGTGGATATGGCCTCAAGGTCTCCAGATTGTAAACTCTTATAGTGTAGG